AAAAAAAAAAAAAAAGAACAACAAAAAACTTCTCTCTGCACAGTAAGCTTTATTCTCATTTGATCAGAACAAAAATCTTGGGGATTGTACAGCAAGGATCAAAGGAAAGAAACACAGAACAATTTGAATGCCATAAATCTGATAGGAATGGCTAATTAAATTTTATAACCTCTGCTTATGTCAATAGAGACCCTCTCCCCAAGCTGAAACTAGGTGTTTTGTTGTAATAATTAAAGGCGAAGTCTCGCTTGCTTTAATGGAGCCATCACACTAATTGAGGGCTACACATCCAAAGGAAAACAATAATGAATGTAAATTTATACCAAAATAAAGTACAGTGAATCAAAGGACTTCAGTTGCGCTTTGGGCCTCTTTCGGTATTTAGATCTCGGTGAGAAAACATTAAATTAACAGAGCTTAATTTGTAGCCTTTTGTCAGATTAACAAGTGTTGACAAGAGTTACCGGGGGAGAGTCCCCAAGAAGTATTGTGGGTAACCAATAGACAATCACACCTCATTACAATAATTAAAAAATACAGCAACATGCAAAACAGCATCCTCATGAAAGACACACAACTTTTTCTGATGGAGGTTTGTCTGCGCTGGCTAGCTCGTTTCATCTGTCCTTCAAATACATCATCTGACTGGGCAGGATGCTTTTGGGGTGGTTCTATGCCAGAAACATGCAGGCCAGTGGAGGAGAGATGGGTTGGGAAGTCAATGGTGAAGCTCAAATGGCAAGGAGAGGGGAAATGAAAACCTTGGGTTACTTCTGTGAAGTTGGCCATGCCAMTGTCTCAGAGCAAAAGCCAATGAGATGGTGTCACCCCTCAACAAAAACCACTGGGAGAAGCCAAAAGAGCCATGGGGAGGCAAGCAGGCCAGTGTCTTGGCTTCCTCCAAAGTGATGGCAAAGCCTTCCAGAGACAGAGGTGGCCAACAGCACTGTCTGTGAAAGTGGCCACATGTGGCATCACTCACATGGCTTTGGTGGCCATGGCAGGAGGTCCAAGGAGGACAAACCTGTGTCTGCACAATGCACACATCCAGATGAGCAAGGAGGCTCAGGCCAGGGACAGAGGGGAATTGAGGTCAGGGACAGAGAGGAATTTCATCCCTGTGCTCTCATGTCTGTCATGCCACCGACTTTTGGCACTAGCTGAGTGTATTTGTTTTAAATGTTGTGCTGCTGAGCAAGCTTAAGCTAAGGAACTGACACTCATTCTACCATTGTTCAGGGTGTCCTTTGGAAAAGGTAAATCACCACAAAAGAGGAGGAATTTCARATTTTAGGGAGCAACACTTTGGGTTTTTCTTCTGCTCATGATGTGCTCTGCTAAACCTTCAGCAGAGAGCTGATGGACACACGTCACCCTCAGGGAGKGAGAACCTCTACCCAAACCTCTACCCACAAGGAAGGGCAGCCTGCAAAAGGGCCAGAAGCTCCAGCTCTCCTGCATCAACACTTCTGAGCTTGAGAAAGGCCTCCAAAGCCTCTGATGCCACCACCCTCTCTTTGCCCAAGAGCTGGGGGTATGCAGGGACACCCTACTCTTACAGGGTGTCAACTCCAGTTCCTCATGGAAAGCAAACTTGTGGAGAGGTATTTTAGCACAGYTGGCCAACCTCAAGCAGAAGGAAACTATTCTGAGCTTTGGGCAATTCATTTCTGTAAGAAACATCACCCCAAAACTGGGGAGGCATGTTACGTGAGAAAAACAGGGTAACAGCCTTGATGTATAATGCACAGAATTGTTGTATCCAGCAATACAAATTGATTTTATAAGCATTTAAATCAAATTTACTACACAAAGGGCTTAGGCAGTGCTTAAGTRTATTATAAACCTATTGAGAGATGGCAACATAAGAAAAAAAAAGAAAATAAGGACTCAATTACTGCAGGGAGCCTCATACCCAGCAAGGTTCTGCAAGTGGGATCTGAGGAGTTGAAAAGAAAACAAAACCCCAAACTAACTTTCCATTGCCTTTTTTCTTAGCCAGTTTTAAAGTAAACTAATTCCTCTTTCTTGTTTAAAATTCCATTCCTCAGATGCCAATTGCCAACTGCCCAGCCACATCTCAACCAGGAATGCTGCTCACTGGCCGATGTAAAGCTCTACTGTTTCACAAGAAAAACAAAAGGGTTTTCAACAGAGAAGGCAAATGAAATTGAAAATTGTAAAATTGAAGTGAGGATGGCCCTAATAAAAATTTTTTAAAAAAGTTTGTGAGAACCACCCCAAGCCCCCAGAAAACCAAATCTGAGAAAAACCCATGCGCTGCAGTGTAAGGGCAATAACAAGAAAAAGACATTTTTGCAGGAGGGTTTAAAAATTCATGCTTCACGAGCTGTCAGCTGTTTGGGGTGACCTGCAAAGCTGTGTCCAACTGCTCATGCTTGTTTAAGACCACATGACCTGGCATGAGTTTTAATTAACTTTCATGAGGTGCGTAAATTCATAACATTCAGTGAAGTGGCAATTGGCAAACTCATCCCAGTGCACACAGATGTGCACACACACACACACACACATATATATATTTACATAAATTTTACACATCAGAAAAAAAAGAAAAAAAGAAATTAAAAAAATGGAACTCCTTACTGTGGTACTAACCATCCTAGCGGATGGGGGATTTGTCCTACAGTGCCTGGTGATAATGGATAATAAGGAGATATATCTGGAGGATGTGGAGGCCTTGGAATTCCTATGGAAGAGGAACAAAAAGTAGCATCAGTACTGAGACATGGAAATAAATAAAATATAAAGAAAAAACACATATGTTTCTAAATTTCCATCAATTCACTTTTATTGCAATATTTGGCCTTCACTCAGAGTTTCAAAGGCTTTTTCACACTTATTTTTTAAACAAGAAAATATTATATTATTCTTTCCCTCAGCCACCTCTCCAGTCAGAGATAATTGTTTTTGTGATTTAGAATTTAGCAAACTCAGATACAGTTTTGGTGTGATGCTGTACTAGGTAACCTCTTAAATGCTCAGTAGAAAGATGGACCTTGTAACAACTTCAYGGTTATTTTAATCTCAAAGTCATCCAAAAGACCACAGGCCCYACACCCATGTGTTGGCCTGGGTACTCAATAACATGGCCTTATTCCAAAATAATCTCCAGAAMAAGTTTAAAAGTCATTAAAATTGCAAATTATGTTTTTGCTTTTGAGCAAACCTAGGAAACCCTTTAGAGGTGCGAGCCCCTGGAAATAAAACCAGGGGCAGATGTTGAAGGTGTGCAGGAGGACAGAGAGCCCACCCATCCTCTCTGGACCCGGTGCAGTTCCTACTCAGAAAGCAGAAACCAGCTCCAGACACAAGCCTTAAATATTAACGCTCCTTACCTTGAGAGCAAATAGGAATTACTCCGAGGAGTAAAGGTTACAAGGCTGGGTCTTTCAATTAACAAGCCAGGGCACAATTACACAGCAGAAGCAAAATTAAAACAGAGAGCATTAAAAAGAAGGGGTACTGTATTCAGGGCTGAAAACTATTTTTTTAAGTCACTTGGGAAGCTTTTAATCTCTAAATTAAATCTCCTTGTGTGACATTTTCACGCAGACGTTGCTTTCTCTCCATTACAAAACCCAAACAGATTAACTGGGCTTTAACCATCCAGTGAGCTATTTGCACACTTGAAAGAATGTTCACAGAAGAAAAGTAAAYAGTCTACAGACGTTAATCATATGTTTTACGATAACCATTTAAAAGCTATTCCCTGTACTACCATTATTTAAATGAGAGGTTGACTATGCCATTCACTTTGCAATACCCAGGGATGGCGAGGTGGAATCCTTTCAAGCCACGTGAAGTCAGCATTAAGCACAATTAAAAGGGGGCCCCAGTCGAAGCACAGCGAGTGAAAACCAGCTAATGCACAGCCTCATTCAAGGGCTGGAGTTCACATAAATTATCTGCATAAGTCAGGGCTGACACACAGTGATTCCTTTGACGTGAATTCTGTTTCTGATGAACTTCCCAATTAACTAAATGGGGTTTGGATTAACAAAACCAAAACCACTGTCACKAGGAGCTCAGCGCAGCCCGGAGAAAGAAGATTGACACTGTTTGACTTCTTTGGGACCTAAGGTTAAAAAGGGACTCTTAAAAAGTTAGAATAACATGTAAATTCTACTCTGTAACACCAATAAATCTAGTCAGGGTTTTATGTGGTGCTCTATATTCAAGCAGACTGCCCTTCAGGCTGAACTTAGAGTTGGRTAGACTTACATTGGGGAAAAGTGTTGCAAGTGTAAAGCTGGAGCTAAGTAGTTACAGTGGATGAAAATTCAACATTACAGGAGAAAAATGGCTGAACTCCTGACACAGAAACAATGGGATTTGGGGAATTAAAAGAGATTCATTTCGAAACCGGTCATGACCCACCACCTTTAAAATTCCAGCTGCAATTTTGTAAGCGCAGATCACAGAATGTACATGTTTAATTCTCTGGGTCGTGCATGCAAACCAAGCACTGGTAGATGGAACTACCAGGTGGGGTATCCTGCTTGCAAGGAAACACACCTGCAAGCGACCCCACACATGCAACTCTGGTGTCACCCTGCAGAAAATTCACCCGGTAGGTTCCCTTCTGAAGCCTAATTGGCTTCAAAAGAAACTGTTTCGTTTGGGTTTGACATTTAACATGCCCCCTTTGAGGCTTCAGCATGGGAAATCCGCTCTCCCGCACTCCTCTCCCCTAATGCGCAGAACGGAAAGATCCACCCACTCCCTCTCGAAAGAAACCCCAAAATATTTCCCACCTACCTGTTTTGGGATCTACGTCAGCTGGTAAGTGTGGAGGAGGGTTTCCTGGTGTGAAGTGCTCATTGCTGTATGTGATAAGCGGCGTGAGAGGGTGTACATGGTGTGGGTGCTGCACAACTGGCACTTTGTTAGACTGTCAAGAGAAAAAGGTTGGCGGTGTTAGAGCAGTGCTGGGCATYCCCCACTGCAGCACGAGGTATGACACACAAAAATCCGAGTAGCCAGGATTTCAACGTGATCCTCAGACTTTTCCAGATCCCTTCTTGGCGTCACCCTTGCAGTTTTCCCACCCTCTTCCTTAAAACCTCCTCACACACTTTCCSTGCTGTTGAGGTTCTTTAATCTTTTTGACCTGTCATGCTCCTGTATGGAGCAACAGCAATTCTTTAAAATTTTCCCTTTTTATTTTATAATCTTGTGCTTCACCTCCAAGATGCAGGCAGACTCCTCAGTGAGGGGCTCAGAGAGTCCCCCATTTAATTAGCAGGGGACCCAAATGCTCACTGACCCATAGGTCTTTTCCTCTCCCCTTCCTGTCCTCACTCTCAGCTCTGCATTTTACTGCTCATTGCAAATACTCCAGATAAAAAGCCTTTGTAGTGCTGGAGTATTCCCTTCATCAGCAAGCATTAAGCTGACAAGCCATCACCTGCATATTTTATATATATATATTTTAGAAGAGCTGATTAATTATCAATTCATCAGAGAGCGCTAATAAATGGAAACTGGATACTGATTAATTAGGSTACTAAAATATTCGGCTATATAAATAATGGCAAAACTCCCCAGATAAAGCCATTGAAATTAACACTCTTGTAAGGGGAATAATCACACAGATATCATGAGGTTTTTCCCATCACATTCCTAGCTCTGGGGAAAAAAAAAAATCTTTTTCTTAACAACAATAAAAAAAATAATTTAAAAGGAGTGAATGAATGAAAGAAAAAGGCAGGCTGAACTGTAACTTACCCTTACAAGATCACAAAGAAAAAATTAAGCTGAAACAAGCGAACCGCTGGACCATTTACTGCGAGTAATCCAATTGCAAAAAACCCTATTCCCCATAGAGGATTTTCACTAAAATCCTACAACAGGGACATTTAACCAGATTAGGTACCAGCAAAGATAAAGAGGCTGGTATTAGATGATGAATGGATTAGAGTCAGGTTTCATTTTAGAATGTGTCTTCATTTCCTTTTATTACTTTAAGTAAGGAACAACTTGCATTAACATCAAGTAAAAGGAATCACATTAAAATAAAGCAGTGATACCACAGTGGCTGSGATAGCGCCGCTGCTGTTCAGGGTCTGCCAGCACTCCCTGCTCACCCTCCTGCTCCAGGACAGCTCCAAAGCCACTGCTCCCTCCTCAGCACCCCCAAACACACAAAMACACCCTCCCCGTGCCCCCTTAGACAAGCTATTGCTGTTATCTGATCTTGCGTCCAATGCTCCAMGCTTCCCTTAGAAGCATTTCAAAAAACAATTCAGTTTTTCTTTGGGGATGAGGTTTCTAAACTGTGGGGGAAGAAGGGGGAAGACAAACTGGGAGCAAGGAGGAAAAGAAAGATCTGTCTTCCCTGAATAAACAAGAAGTGCCAGCATCATGTTTGGCCAAGCAAAGCTCCTTTGGCTCCCCAGCCCCAGCCCCTGCCATATTTGGGCTCACTGCTTTGATAACCTGCAGAAAGAAGTGTGCATCCAAAAGAAGCAAGGCAAGAGCAGCGCTTGTGCCTCCCACACTCCTCCTGTGCTGCTCACTGCATTCATCTCCTTTTGCCACCACACAGGACGATTCCTCCCTGTCACTGAGCACTTGGCACAGGGCATCCCCATGTCAAGTGGCCACCAGGCAGGACAGAGCGTGGTCACCACAGCCATTGCTGTGATTTACAGCACGTTGTGTCRGCTGGGCTGTGGCTGGTCAGATCTTCTGCCAGCTGACAACTTGTGGCCACACAGATCCATAATGGTTTCACATCAGAGGAGCTATGRGGATTGGGCTCTCCATGTTCAAAAAGCCAAAGGAGATGCTCTAACCCAAAATCTGTTCTCTTTCAAGTGAGCCAGCCTAAGCGCTCTGAAAGTAACTGAAAGCTTTGGCAAGGACTTCACCTAACAAATCATATTTCACACCATACAAAGTAGCAGGCATCTACTCAACAACARATGACATTGTAAGCCAAATTACCAGGTGATAAGGTCAAAAAAAAATGACCATTTCCAGTAAGAGCTATTTTTTTCTGGCCACCCATAGTGTGGTCCCATTTATTGAAGAAGTTATTACATGCTGTACCTTCGTGCTCTCCCAACTCTATCTTCACATCATTGCAAACCTCACCCAGACCCTGACAGACACTGAGAGAAGCCTTCCACASAGAGCTTATTTTCACAGAAATTGGAGCTGGTTAGTTAAAAAAATAAACAAGTGATAGAACAACATTAGAGGGTCAGACTTTAAGCTGACAAACAAGAAACAACACGTAAGAGGAAAAGCTGGACTGACATGGCTCCACCACCAAAGCCAGATGTACCATAGGGGGTTACATGTAAACTGTGGGAAACCACCACTCGTTGCTTTGATACACCAAGACCGCCTGCAATATCGCCACAAAACAGAACAACTGCTAAATTGTGATGTATTTTACTTAGCATGTTTCAGAGACAAACAAAAAGCAAAAGGAAAAAATAAATAAAAATCAACTACTAAGAGTTTGAGCCTTAAGTCTGCATATTTTTCCCTCGATAAGTAATTTTTATTGGGGTGACTACCATGCACTCAAACAACTCATACAAACGTGCAAGAGTAGGATACTTTTTTGCCACTCCGATGATGTTGGGGCAGAGGTGGGGGGAGAATGTACCAGGGGAAGGGGAGAAACATATGCATGCTCAAAAATATGCAAAATATGCACTCTGGGACAGTGGAGTGTGATCCACTTCCCTGCCAATCAGTCTGCATCTGTACCACTACCCAGGGACACGTTTCCATTCTGTTTTGCACTGCTTAGCACACTGGGAAAAGGGACCATAACTCCCCTCAGAAGAGMACACACGATTTGCAAGCCAAGCTAAGCATGTATAATATGCTAAACAAGCTGCTCTTTAAAAACACCATTCCCAAAGTTAACTAAGCTTCCTTGGAAAAGAGGAAAATAAAGGACAGTGTGGGAAAGAGCAGGATTAATCCTGTGGGTGCATCTTTGTTTGAAGTCAATGGGAGCTCAGCCTSGGTAACAAGTGTGGTCCTAACCCCATCCACTGGCTGTGAAAGGTAAACCATCAATAGGAGACAYCTACTAGATAACTCTAGACATGCCCCTGCAAAAGGCAACATTCTCCAATATACATTTGTGAGTACTTTATCAAGGGCACYTCTAAGCTAAAAGCCATTGTGAGAAGCAGGGATTTCTCTGGAAGTTGAAGAGCTCCATTTATGRCTCTGCCAGGCACGGGAAGGGGAACTGCACTGGCACACACAGATCAGCATCAGGGCATGTGGTAACAGGTCAGATTTCTAAAYACAAATCCCAGCCTCTACAAAGTACCAAGTCATCTGCTGATAAATCACCCCTTATGCACTGAAAGCTGAGGTCTCATATGCTGGGTTAGAGGGCACGGTAAAGAATTGYAAAAAAACAAGAGAAGTTTGCTTTTCTTGATAACTGCTGCCTGAAGCAAACCAGAGGAAATTGTCCCCATAGGGGCTCTACTACTAAATCTCTCTATATGAATTTGAAATGCTTCTGGGAGTGCTTAAACACAGATCAGTTTAAACAATAATGGAGCTCCAGAAYGAAAGAAATTCCCACACCGAAACCACAACAAATTTTGGACTGATAAATGTTTGAGAGGAATACTGAGATCCATTTAGACTAAGTTCTGATAGGTGCCTTTAGGGAACAAAAAAAAAAAACTATCTGAACTTCAGATTTAAACTGCAGGGGATTGTGTGTATAAATTGCTGTGTWTTAGTCTTTGTTGCATGGTAAGGACATTTCATTAACAGGATGAAAGATGCTTCTATGCGTACACAGCCCAATTTAATACACCCCACTGATGAATACTCCCCATTTATTGAAGAACTTAATACACGCTGTATAAATCAATAGTTCCTAAGTCTMTGAAAGCAACACAAGACTTGCATAAGATGAAACATTGTATTGTTGAGCACACAAAGAGAAACCAACCTCTAAACAGGAAGGAGTTTGCTACTGCAATTTCTGTTTGCAAATTCACGGCTTGTTTGGCTTTGGTAATAAAAACACGCTACCGACTCCAAGTCAGAGAAAAACATGCTGGAGACACCAGAGGATTTGTCCTCACCAGGGTAAGGTGGGGTGTGCACAAAAAGCCACCCAGGCTGAGRACAAACCATTGTGCCATGGCAGCATCGCAGCGACCAAAGCTTCAGCCTCTGAYTCYGYTCCAGTGCATCCCAARGGCAGGGTGGAGGATGCTCCTGCASCAGCCCAGCCTGGAATTCTGGTAGCCACCAGCACAGCCCCATGGCTTCCCTGACCTGGGTGGCCTTTTAAATGTCCCTAAAGCCCTGTGAGGCTGGGGGTGCTGCAGGCCACCAGGCACTCCTCAAGCTCATGGCACAGGAGGGACCGAGCACCCAGACCCCCAGAGCCCTGTYCCCCTCCTCTAYGACCAGAGGAATGAGAGCTTGCCATCCTCCTTAAAACCTATTAATCGAGAGACACTRAAAACAAATGGAGTTAGAGCTCCGCCTGTCTTTTTGCTATGTCCTCCTCTTGCCACTGCTCTCCTTTTCTGAAGCAAGATGGGCCCTGAAAGTGCTTTTATGAGCCTAATACAATAAAACAAAAGCAGCACRGAAGAGGGCTTGTCAGCCTTTTCCCCTCCTCTGGGTGGATGCAGGTCGACAGTGGTCTTGAATTAGCAGGCCCTCCTGGAATTGCTCTCTGGGCTTAGCAAGSAGTACCATTCAATACCAGCTCACATCAAAAAATAGGTTTATAAATTGTTTCTCTGTATTTTCCAGATGATGTTATTGCAGTTACACTGACTGTGGCCAGTGAAATGCTCCTGAACTGCTCTGCAGCTCCAAAGATGTTCATAAAAGGAGTTTATTTTATTGTAAAGGTTGATCCCTCCCTGATTCTGC